GGGTGCCGAAACTTCGGCTGCCACAGTTGGCTTGACTTTGGCCCGACGTTCCAACTGTGGCGGCTGACCGAAATTCGCACCTGGGTGTAGAAATACTAAAATATTTAAATATTTACTAAAAAACTTGCCTTTAGGTTATGCAAAAATCATGACACTAAGTTCAAACTCCAGGGCAAAGATTGTAGAGGTTAAGAGGTGGGAGCAGGATCATATTTTGGAATGTTTGCTTTAGAAAATTCGAATCATCTCCTTTTCAATTCGTAACTGTAAACTTCAAGAGGGTCCGTTTTATTTTTTTTGTAATCTGCACATAAAAATACATATGTGTACAATATTTTAGTTCTTTAAACTTATCAAAAATATATATTCCTCGGTCCGGGACTGCTTATTGCAATAATGCATAAATAAATATAATGATTTATAATTAAAAATACTTGATAATGCTATATTAATTTTATTGTCTGTTTACTCTAACTCTGAATTAATTAAAAATTTATTATTTTCTGGCAATTCTTTGACAATATCTATTATTAGTAATTAGCAGAAAATAACTAATTAGCATTAAATAATTATTAGAAAAGCAGCTAATTTTAAATTGAAAATAAATGTATTTTTAACAAATATTTAGTTAATAAAAAAATATTATTTCCTAAGTTTTATAATTAATTCAAATTTTAAAAAGCACTATTCTACTTTTGAAAACTATTAATATTTTAATAAAAGAATTATTAAATTATAATATTCTATTCTCTTTAACTATAAATCATTACAAATCCTTTCTGCATTATTTTTATTCACAGCTACCCTAAAGAGTGTAACATGTAATGAATATATATATTTTGAAAAAGTAAATTGAAAAACGTAATAATTTTCTCATGTTTTAAAAAGAAACTATTGAACTTTAGCAATTAAATATCACTAAATACTTTTTAGGGCATTCGCTATCCGCCACCTGCGACCCGCCCAGTAGCTTATGATAGCTCTGGGAAATGAATATCTAGTACGGTTTATACTTTTAATGCAATTAAAAATAAAACTTTTATCCATTTTTAAAGAAGAAGAAAGAAGACTAAAAAAATGTGGAATATTTTTTTTATAGTTTCGCAACTGAAAATTATTGAAAGATCAATTGCAATTATTTAAGTTGAAGTTTAACATTAGAAATGAAAAATTAAATATTATAAAATCTTTTTAATTGCATTAAAAGTCACGTGGCTAAAAAGCACTTTTTAAATTTTTACGATTTACACTTTACATAATATATAAAGTAAAGCAAAAATGCATTTATTTGATTTTTTACTTTTAAATTTTAATGAGTTTTACTCTTTGTTTTCTGTGTCGAAATCTGTTAATAGGTTTCAAATTGAGGGCAGTGTAATTACAAAAATTTCTGAAAATCTGTAAAGACTTACAAAAGCAAATATACCTACTCTGTAAAAAAGAGGGTTGTTGTAGTATATTTTCGAATGCTCTCAACGGCCGCGACGTAAAAAACATAAAAAAAGTAAAAGTAAAATAAAAAAAGTAAAGTTTGTAAAGTTTTTGTAGTGGTATAATGTAAAGTATTTTTGTGTCATGTTTGCACATCTTCAATAATGGATCTGCAATGTAAATTTTGAATAATGTTGTATTTATCTGGTGACATCCTTCCATCTTTCAATTGACGTAATTCTGATGAATATTTGCAATTATCCGTAGAGATCCTTGTTATTTCAATGGTGCCTCGCGAGAACCCAATCGCGAGAAATGCTTGCAAATTACTTAATATCGAACAAGTGACGCGCCAGAACATAGAAGTGGTGAATTAATAACAAGAAAATCGGTATTTTTACAGAAATGGTAGCGTTAAATCGTACGTTATATAATTGAGTAGATTTAAATCCTTCCATGGTTTAATTGATATTTGATAAATAAATGATCATGGGAAGGTAAATAATTGAATAAGAAATCCAATGTGTTTCGTCAGTAATGCGACGTTTCGTTGGCTAAGGTTTGCCAACCTCATCAGGCTAAATTTATTAAAAACAGAAAAGGCACTTTAATATTTATAAAGGTTTTCTAAAAAACACTATTTTTCACTAAAGTAATTAACAACGAATAATATCCTACCTAATTCATTAAAACATAAAAACACTATTTTAGTTCGTCATGAAGAATAAAAATTAAATAAATAAATAAATAAATTAAAAAACAAAACACGACACATATTCCACACAAGAGATTAAATTTATAATTATATAGAAGAAAAGGAGACATTCCTCTACAACGACTCAGTGTCAACTGAAATAAAATTAGAAACTGAGATAAGAAAGTCAAAACTATGAAAACTAAAAGAGTCAATGAACTGATATGTAAACACAGGTGGTCAGCAAGATATGTTATTGTTTTGTCATTATGGACATGAGTCTATACGTCTGAAAAGAGGAAAGAACGTTTTATTTAGAGTGAGAATATCTTCTTTTCTGTTAATAGTGGAATGATTTGTTTTTATGTGGATCATTTCCGATATTCGTCGTTTTATAAAATTTTTTTCATTGTCCAAAACCTTCACATTTTCCCAATCAAAATCATGATTGAAATTGATACAATGTCGGTACACTACAGAGTTGTCATTCACTTTTTTATGTTCGTTTATGCGAGTTAGTAAAGATCGTTTCGTCTCGCCAATATATGTTGCAGGGCAGGTTTTACAATCAAACTTATATACAACATTTGTTCTATCCCATTTTTTTGTCGAATCTTTACCTAGTTTGATGATAGAACTAGAATTTTTATTTATAAGAGGAATAGACGTGCAATTAAACTCTCTAAGGATATTTGACAACTTGAAAAAACATTTTTCATTAAAAGGTAAACAAACTTTTGGAATTTTACTATATATATTAGTTTTGTTATTATTATTATTAACATCAGAAAATTTTATTTTATTAACACGAATCTTGATATGTTTTTCAATGAAGTCTGAAGGATAGTTATTGTTTTTTAAAATATTTTTAATTTTTTTCAAGTTGTCAAATTGGAATTTTTTATTGGACAATGAAAATGCCCTATCTACAAGATTATATACAATATTCTTCTTCTGTTGAAGTGGATGATCTGAAAAATAGTTAATGAGTCTATCTGATGAAATCGGTTTTTGATACCAATTTGTAATAATTTTGTTGTTGTCTCTGATAAGCTTTAGATCGAGAAAGTTAATAGAATTTTCTTTTTCTTTTTCAACAGTAAATTGTAATTTTCGATTGTAAGAGTTAAAAGTGTCAATGACCAGATCAACATGTTCTTTTTTTATGGCTAAAATTGTGTCATCCACATACCTATAATAGAAAAGTGGAACACAATTATGTTTTTCTTTTAACTCTTTTAAACATTCAGTTTCCAGATCATCCATTACAATATCCGAGACGAAAGGTGAAATTGGAGAACCCATCGGAGTTCCGTATGTCTGTCTGTAGAATTTTCCATCAAAAGAAAAATATGTATTATTAAATACAAATTTAGTAAAATCAATAATGTCAGAGAATGGAATTTTACATTTTTGGTTTATACAACTAACACGTCGATCCAAACTCTGAATGACCAACTCACAAGACACATTTGTAAACATGGAACTTACGTCAAGTGAGATAAAAGTGTAGCTGTCGTCCATAGTAACATTGTCTAATTTGTTTTTAAGTTCTAAACTATTGTTAATGTGTGACCGAGGTAAAGTAATACAATTTTTTAAGGAGTTGTACAATATTTTTGCGAGAAAATGAGTAGGGCTATTTATTAAGGAAATAATCGGACGAAGTGGGACATTTTCTTTATGTATTTTTGGGAGTCCATAAGCTTTAGCCAAAACAGTGTCAGTCAAAGTCAATTGATTCGGGTGATAAACTTTGTCAAGGAATTCATTTTCATTTAAATATTTAAGAATTGATGATGTATTTTTGATAAGTTTTTTAATTGGATTCTTTTTTATAAGTTCATATGTTGTAGTGTCAGTAAACATATTTGTCATTTTTTGATTATAGTCAGTTTTCTTTAAAAGTACTGTCACATTGCCTTTATCGGCAGGAGTGAAAAAAAGTTCAGGATTATTTTTTAAAAAGTTTTTGTAATATTTAATTTTTTTGAAAAAGATTTATCTTGATTAGTTAATGAATTCTTATTTTTCAAATTATTTGACAAAACATCAGAAAATTTTCCCCTTAAAGTATTTTTTGAATTTTCATCAATGTCGACTTTTGATAAACAAAACTCTAAGTTTTTTACGGTATTTATAATATCTACCTTAGAGATGTCTTTTGAAAAACAGAAATTGGGACCCAATGATGCAACTTCAGCCACTTCTGACGGGATCACAATATCGGTTAAATTTTTGAACCAATTTGGTTTGGAAATTTTGGTTTCGACTGATTGTTTTTTTATTAATGTTGTTAATTTATTTTTATGAATAGTATTATTGGCGTGTAAAATGCGAATGAACTTTTTTCGTGAAAGATCAAAAAATCTGTCACGAGACACGTTGTTAAAATTTGAATTTTTAATACTAAGTTCACAATAATTTTGAAGCTTTTTTAAGAATTCCACATGTAGATGAATGTCGTTGATTTCAATGTTTAATATGTTTCTTAGATAAGATGCATTTAATTTTGCAAAGGTTTTTTTGCATGACTTACTGTAAAAAGATGTAATGTTTACACGTTTTTGTAGATTGATGATATGTTGAGGAAAGACGTTGTTATTTCTACAACTCAACAGAAAAACCTTTTTTGAAAGTGCCGTCGCCAATTGTTTATTTGTAGATGTCCATTTTTTTAAAAGATCTTTAAGATGTTTTCCATATTTTTCACCAATATATGTGAAAAAGGATGTTGACAACAAGGTTGAGTCTATCTCCGATCCAAGACTCGAAATTGATAATTGAGTAGATTTAAATCCTTCCATGGTTTAATTGATATTTGATAAATAAATGATCATGGGAAGGTAAATAATTGAATAAGAAATCCAATGTGTTTCGTCAGTAATGCGACGTTTCGTTGGCTAAGGTTTGCCAACCTCATCAGGCTAAATTTATTAAAAACAGAAAAGGCACTTTAATATTTATAAAGGTTTTCTAAAAAACACTATTTTTCACTAAAGTAATTAACAACGAATAATATCCTACCTAATTCATTAAAACATAAAAACACTATTTTAGTTCGTCATGAAGAATAAAAATTAAATAAATAAATAAATAAATTAAAAAACAAAACACGACACATATTCCACACAAGAGATTAAATTTATAATTATATAGAAGAAAAGGAGACATTCCTCTACAACGACTCAGTGTCAACTGAAATAAAATTAGAAACTGAGATAAGAAAGTCAAAACTATGAAAACTAAAAGAGTCAATGAACTGATATGTAAACACAGGTGGTCAGCAAGATATGTTATTGTTTTGTCATTATGGACATGAGTCTATACGTCTGAAAAGAGGAAAGAACGTTTTATTTAGAGTGAGAATATCTTCTTTTCTGTTAATAGTGGAATGATTTGTTTTTATGTGGATCATTTCCGATATTCGTCGTTTTATAAAATTTTTTTCATTGTCCAAAACCTTCACATTTTCCCAATCAAAATCATGATTGAAATTGATACAATGTCGGTACACTACAGAGTTGTCATTCACTTTTTTATGTTCGTTTATGCGAGTTAGTAAAGATCGTTTCGTCTCGCCAATATATGTTGCAGGGCAGGTTTTACAATCAAACTTATATACAACATTTGTTCTATCCCATTTTTTTGTCGAATCTTTACCTAGTTTGATGATAGAACTAGAATTTTTATTTATAAGAGGAATAGACGTGCAATTAAACTCTCTAAGGATATTTGACAACTTGAAAAAACATTTTTCATTAAAAGGTAAACAAACTTTTGGAATTTTACTATATATATTAGTTTTGTTATTATTATTATTAACATCAGAAAATTTTATTTTATTAACACGAATCTTGATATGTTTTTCAATGAAGTCTGAAGGATAGTTATTGTTTTTTAAAATATTTTTAATTTTTTTCAAGTTGTCAAATTGGAATTTTTTATTGGACAATGAAAATGCCCTATCTACAAGATTATATACAATATTCTTCTTCTGTTGAAGTGGATGATCTGAAAAATAGTTAATGAGTCTATCTGATGAAATCGGTTTTTGATACCAATTTGTAATAATTTTGTTGTTGTCTCTGATAAGCTTTAGATCGAGAAAGTTAATAGAATTTTCTTTTTCTTTTTCAACAGTAAATTGTAATTTTCGATTGTAAGAGTTAAAAGTGTCAATGACCAGATCAACATGTTCTTTTTTTATGGCTAAAATTGTGTCATCCACATACCTATAATAGAAAAGTGGAACACAATTATGTTTTTCTTTTAACTCTTTTAAACATTCAGTTTCCAGATCATCCATTACAATATCCGAGACGAAAGGTGAAATTGGAGAACCCATCGGAGTTCCGTATGTCTGTCTGTAGAATTTTCCATCAAAAGAAAAATATGTATTATTAAATACAAATTTAGTAAAATCAATAATGTCAGAGAATGGAATTTTACATTTTTGGTTTATACAACTAACACGTCGATCCAAACTCTGAATGACCAACTCACAAGACACATTTGTAAACATGGAACTTACGTCAAGTGAGATAAAAGTGTAGCTGTCGTCCATAGTAACATTGTCTAATTTGTTTTTAAGTTCTAAACTATTGTTAATGTGTGACCGAGGTAAAGTAATACAATTTTTTAAGGAGTTGTACAATATTTTTGCGAGAAAATGAGTAGGGCTATTTATTAAGGAAATAATCGGACGAAGTGGGACATTTTCTTTATGTATTTTTGGGAGTCCATAAGCTTTAGCCAAAACAGTGTCAGTCAAAGTCAATTGATTCGGGTGATAAACTTTGTCAAGGAATTCATTTTCATTTAAATATTTAAGAATTGATGATGTATTTTTGATAAGTTTTTTAATTGGATTCTTTTTTATAAGTTCATATGTTGTAGTGTCAGTAAACATATTTGTCATTTTTTGATTATAGTCAGTTTTCTTTAAAAGTACTGTCACATTGCCTTTATCGGCAGGAGTGAAAAAAAGTTCAGGATTATTTTTTAAAAAAGTTTTTGTAATATTTAATTTTTTTGAAAAAGATTTATCTTGATTAGTTAATGAATTCTTATTTTTCAAATTATTTGACAAAACATCAGAAAATTTTCCCCTTAAAGTATTTTTTGAATTTTCATCAATGTCGACTTTTGATAAACAAAACTCTAAGTTTTTTACGGTATTTATAATATCTACCTTAGAGATGTCTTTTGAAAAACAGAAATTGGGACCCAATGATGCAACTTCAGCCACTTCTGACGGGATCACAATATCGGTTAAATTTTTGAACCAATTTGGTTTGGAAATTTTGGTTTCGACTGATTGTTTTTTTATTAATGTTGTTAATTTATTTTTATGAATAGTATTATTGGCGTGTAAAATGCGAATGAACTTTTTTCGTGAAAGATCAAAAAATCTGTCACGAGACACGTTGTTAAAATTTGAATTTTTAATACTAAGTTCACAATAATTTTGAAGCTTTTTTAAGAATTCCACATGTAGATGAATGTCGTTGATTTCAATGTTTAATATGTTTCTTAGATAAGATGCATTTAATTTTGCAAAGGTTTTTTTGCATGACTTACTGTAAAAAGATGTAATGTTTACACGTTTTTGTAGATTGATGATATGTTGAGGAAAGACGTTGTTATTTCTACAACTCAACAGAAAAACCTTTTTTGAAAGTGCCGTCGCCAATTGTTTATTTGTAGATGTCCATTTTTTTAAAAGATCTTTAAGATGTTTTCCATATTTTTCACCAATATATGTGAAAAAGGATGTTGACAACAAGGTTGAGTCTATCTCCGATCCAAGACTCGAAATTGATAATTGAGTAGATTTAAATCCTTCCATGGTTTAATTGATATTTGATAAATAAATGATCATGGGAAGGTAAATAATTGAATAAGAAATCCAATGTGTTTCGTCAGTAATGCGACGTTTCGTTGGCTAAGGTTTGCCAACCTCATCAGGCTAAATTTATTAAAAACAGAAAAGGCACTTTAATATTTATAATGGTTTTCTAAAAAACACTATTTTTCACTAAAGTAATTAACAACGAATAATATCCTACCTAATTCATTAAAACATAAAAACACTATTTTAGTTCGTCATGAAGAATAAAAATTAAATAAATAAATAAATAAATTAAAAAACAAAACACGACACATATTCCACACAAGAGATTAAATTTATAATTATATAGAAGAAAAGGAGACATTCCTCTACAACGACTCAGTGTCAACTGAAATAAAATTAGAAACTGAGATAAGAAAGTCAAAACTATGAAAACTAAAAGAGTCAATGAACTGATATGTAAACACAGGTGGTCAGCAAGATATGTTATTGTTTTGTCATTATGGACATGAGTCTATACGTCTGAAAAGAGGAAAGAACGTTTTATTTAGAGTGAGAATATCTTCTTTTCTGTTAATAGTGGAATGATTTGTTTTTATGTGGATCATTTCCGATATTCGTCGTTTTATAAAATTTTTTTCATTGTCCAAAACCTTCACATTTTCCCAATCAAAATCATGATTGAAATTGATACAATGTCGGTACACTACAGAGTTGTCATTCACTTTTTTATGTTCGTTTATGCGAGTTAGTAAAGATCGTTTCGTCTCGCCAATATATGTTGCAGGGCAGGTTTTACAATCAAACTTATATACAACATTTGTTCTATCCCATTTTTTTGTCGAATCTTTACCTAGTTTGATGATAGAACTAGAATTTTTATTTATAAGAGGAATAGACGTGCAATTAAACTCTCTAAGGATATTTGACAACTTGAAAAAACATTTTTCATTAAAAGGTAAACAAACTTTTGGAATTTTACTATATATATTAGTTTTGTTATTATTATTATTAACATCAGAAAATTTTATTTTATTAACACGAATCTTGATATGTTTTTCAATGAAGTCTGAAGGATAGTTATTGTTTTTTAAAATATTTTTAATTTTTTTCAAGTTGTCAAATTGGAATTTTTTATTGGACAATGAAAATGCCCTATCTACAAGATTATATACAATATTCTTCTTCTGTTGAAGTGGATGATCTGAAAAATAGTTAATGAGTCTATCTGATGAAATCGGTTTTTGATACCAATTAAAATCAATTTAATTAACAATTTATTAAAACAAATGTTGTATATAAGTTTGATTGTAAAACCTGCCCTGCAACATATATTGGCGAGACGAAACGATCTTTACTAACTCGCATAAACGAACATAAAAAAGTGAATGACAACTCTGTAGTGTACCGACATTGTATCAATTTCAATCATGATTTTGATTGGGAAAATGTGAAGGTTTTGGACAATGAAAAAAATTTTATAAAACGACGAATATCGGAAATGATCCACATAAAAACAAATCATTCCACTATTAACAGAAAAGAAGATATTCTCACTCTAAATAAAACGTTCTTTCCTCTTTTCAGACGTATAGACTCATGTCCATAATGACAAAACAATAACATATCTTGCTGACCACCTGTGTTTACATATCAGTTCATTGACTCTTTTAGTTTTCATAGTTTTGACTTTCTTATCTCAGTTTCTAATTTTATTTCAGTTGACACTGAGTCGTTGTAGAGGAATGTCTCCTTTTCTTCTATATAATTATAAATTTAATCTCTTGTGTGGAATATGTGTCGTGTTTTGTTTTTTAATTTATTTATTTATTTATTTAATTTTTATTCTTCATGACGAACTAAAATAGTGTTTTTATGTTTTAATGAATTAGGTAGGATATTATTCGTTGTTAATTACTTTAGTGAAAAATAGTGTTTTTTAGAAAACCTTTATAAATATTAAAGTGCCTTTTCTGTTTTTAATAAATTTAGCCTGATGAGGTTGGCAAACCTTAGCCAACGAAACGTCGCATTACTGACGAAACACATTGGATTTCTTATTCAATTATTTACCTTCCCATGATCATTTATTTATCAAATACGTACGTTATATACTTCCAGTTATTTGAATTACACAAGCATTTAAATGCAACAAATTTTAAAGTCTTTACATGGATTTAACACTTTACCTCGTGTCAATTGACTGATGACGTTTTAAACGACAAGTTAAGTGATAAAAGAGTCAACACTAATATCTCGCTGTAGTTAATCTATCAGATTTCATACACTGATAATATTCAATCCGCGTTATTCTCTTTGTAAGGATGTAAATTGGTTGATCTTGAGTTGGACCTCGGATTCTCATCCATAAGCAAACAACTTTTGTTGTCACAGAATAAACTTCACTTGAAAAAGTCTTCAAATCCAAGTTTCTAAAGAAATCTTTAAATACATATAGCTTTCTTAACACACTCTGTGAGAGATTTTGACTAAATAAGATAAATAACTAAATAAGATCTCCTGATAATTGAACAGCCTCCCCAATCAGCGTCAACATATCCTTAAACTAGTCCTTTTTTTATGCAGCTAATTCCTACGTCGATGGTTCCTTTAAGGTAGCGTAAATTGCGATTAGTTATCTTCCAATGCTTCGAGACATGGCAATTATTGAATTTTTCTAAGTAGCTTATTGTACAATTAATGTCAAGACGAGTTATGACTGAAAGATAGGTAATTCCAGGATGTATAATAATAGTTCATTCACTCTGACGACGTTGTTACATTATCTAAATTTTATCTCCAAGAATTAGGTTGCAGGTCCTAGAACTTTTAGATTAAATTCATTGAACAGTTTTCCTTTTGAAGATTTTGATTATCCATCGTCTTTAGCTTCTATGAGAAAATCATTAACGTAGCCTTTCATTTTTCGATGCTTCCATCTGGGTCCAGCTTGTTTTGACATACCTATCATCTTCTTTATCAAAACTTCAGATATAAGTGTCTGCTCAACTTCTTTGTCAATTTATATTTATTCGGTGTCATTTTCTTGATCATTCTCTCACTGTGCACTGCTTCTGAATCCTGATCTTGTTTCCTAATGTGGGTACATTTGTCTGTGACTGATTTCTTCCCACTTCCATTCGGTCGACTCGGTTTTTTTCTCGGTTCTGGAGCTTTTTTCGCATTCTGTGTTTCTTCATTTGCTGGATCATCCTACTTCTTTTCTCGTTTAAAACCTCTGAATTCATCTTTATCGTCGCTTTCTGTGTCTTTTCGTTTATTTGTCGAAATGTTTTCGGTGTTATTTGATTAGTGTAAATGTGTTTGATGTCCACAAAAAATTAATTACTGAGATTATTTGTATAAAATAAATACTCAATAATCTATAAGGCAACCTACAAATAGTACTTCGTAAGCGGAGAGAAAAAACGGGGCTTTGTAGCACGTAGTGCTACAAAGTATGGTCCATGCCTACACAAAATCGAAGCTATCCTAAAAATTTATTAAAGATTTACTGGCAAACTTCGAAGTATTTACGTGAAAAGTTTAGTGAAAACTTTATAAAGATTTAAATGTCGCACTTCAATAAATTTTTAGGAAAATTGTATGCTACATTTTCGTCTAGAAGAGAGAAGTCGAAAATTTAATTAATATGTTCAGTAAAGTTTTAAGTTAAATTTTTATAAAAATTCGACGATAAACATTTGTGGAAGTGGGGCATTTAAATCTTTACATAATTTGCATTAAACTTTGCAAGTTAATTTTTAATAAATTTTTGGAAAGTTTCAGTGCAGTGTGGGTGGCTTTAGCGTATGGGCGCTTCCTTATGGCGTAAGTACAAACTCGTACGATTTCAAGCAAGAACTCTTGCTGCAATCGTACGAGTTCGTGCTTACGCCTTTAGCGCCCATACACTAAAGCTATAGACCACTGCGTGCTACAAAGTCTCTTTTTTCTGTACAGGAACGTTTATTTGAAGCCTTAAAAAATGGTAACTCTATCATTATCATAAGTAATATGTTACTTTATATATTGTGAAGAGCTACGTGGCTAAAGAGCACTGCTGTAATTCAGCTTAATATTATTGCATTTTATACGTTAAATACAGGTAATTACTTATGTACTGTACTTCAGTGTGCACATCTTTTTGATAACAGGGGCATTTCTTTTACAATCCAATTAATTCGTGACTAACGTAACACATAAATTTATGACGAATTGTTAACATTAGGGTAGAGTGGGATAAAAAACCACGTTTTTACTTTTTACACTATGAAATCGAAATTTAAATTTCTTTCTTCAAATTTCTAATTGGAAATATAAGTTTAGTTATCAAACTTAAATATCCTTGTAGATTATTTTTTTGTATTCCAAGAAAGGACTAAGTTATATGAGTTTTATGAAATCACTGCAAGTGGCCTTTTTACACTTCCTGGTGAGGAAAAAAAGTTATTTTGTGATGTTGTCAAAACATTTTCTTATCAAATTTTGTTATCTTATATTTTTCTTTTGTTAATATGACGAAGAAATAATTTAAAATTGTTTTTAGCGTGAAAAATTGTATTTTATGTTATGTTTAACTGCTTTCAATTTAAAATCATCGAAATAAGCAACTTAAAAATGAAAATTCCAATAACAACAATAATATTATTGATACGACATCCAAAATAGAATAAAAAGTTACGTCTTATACTAGAATCAACTTATATTCCAAGTGGCTGGTAAAACAGTTCAATAGTTTTAATAAAAATGCCAAATAGCCTTTTTACCTTTGATTTTTACTCCACTCTAACCTATACTAAAAAAATTGGACAAGTGCGAGTTGTGTCTTATACGCATTGAGTTACCTTTAATGTCTTAAAATGAGACACGAGATGAAATTAAATGTCTCAATATAAAACAGTTTTTGTATCTCAATGGTTTAAACACTTAAAGCAACTCATTTTAAGACACGAGTGAGATACCAGTTTTTGCAGTGTATTATTGTTTACAATATTAGATATACAATACTTTAATTTTTTTTAGTTGTTTTTTTTATCAAATGATTTTAATATATTTTTATAATTGTTTATTTTAATTCTACCAATTACCGATCAATGTTGCAAGTATTGTTTTAATATTTGTGTGCGGAACCCGCCATTGCAGTGCGAGTACAACTCGCACTTGTCCAATTTTTTTTTATTTTTAGTTAAGAAATTAAAGTCAGAAAACAATCTCTCATTTATTCTCTTAAAATTTTACTCTCTTCCTTAAAACATTTAATGCCACGTGTTTAAACTAAAAAAAATTAAAAATTTTTTTTTTTTTTGAAAAAAAAATTAAAAAAAAATTTTTTTTTGATTTTTTTTCAAAAAGTTTCTTAAATAAATTTTTTGTCGTCAGACTGTAATAATACACTAGGATACCAATTTTCAGCTCATTAGGTCAAATAATGTAAAAGTTAGGGGAAAAAAAATTTTTTTAAAAAATTTTTTAGTTTTTCCTTGACAACGCTATGGCCATCATTACATATCAAGTTCTCTATATTTTTCCTGTAATATTCGAGTAAAAATACACCAGTATGCAAAATTTCAGCTCTCCATGTCGAATAGTTTAGAAGTTAAGGGGGGGGGGAATGGTCACTTTTTATGCATTTTTGGCCAAAAATCTTGTTATTTCCTTGACAACGCTATGCCCATCACGTCCAATCACATTCGCTATATTTTTCCTGTAATCTACGAGTGAAAATACATATCTGGACCAAATTTGAGCTCTTTAGGTCAAATAGTTTAGCCGCTAGGGGGGGGGGCACGATTTGGCTACGGACAACAGAGTCTCACCAATAGGGTTCCGCCGATACACCGTAGGTGTACGGAAACCTAAAAATGGTCCAATTTTCAAAAATACGTGCAAACCGGAAGAATAGCAAATAAGCAGAGAAAATTAATGTGAATCGGTTATCGATACTCGGCTTTACACAGTGAAAAAATGTGTGTCTCACCATAATTTTCTCAGTGTACCTTGATATTTTTTGGGTAATATTATATTGGCCCACATAGCACAACAATTTTCTGCAAATTTGCGGCAAGTTTTCAAAGCCAAATTCGAAAATTTGCTTGCCCTGCCGGAAGAATGGACTGAAATTGTACTGGGGAATTAGTACTGAGAGCTCAGTGCTATTTCAGTGAAAATTTGCTGCGTTTCAGCACTGAAATTGTACTGGGAAAAATTACCTGCAAAAGGGTCGCTATACATAGGGGATGTTTATGGCCTGACCGTCATTAAGTTAAAGGACGAATGTTTCTTTGTTAATGTTAAAAATATTTTTTATTTATATTTCAACATTATATTTGTTTTTCATGAACTCAGATTCTATACAAGTAATTATTATGTATGCTAAATATTCATGTGAACCTAAATTCAAAAATAATATCCGTTTTTACGTAGCAATTAGAGTTTGCTAGATAGTTTATAACTTTTTTAATTAAAAATTTCTTATGCTGAATTTTAGATATTTGTAATCATGAAACATCACAGATTAAAATTTTTTTGTTTTGAAAATTGAATTATTTAAATTGTAAACTTTTTAAGCCATAAAATTATAATCCCATACAACAATAGGCTTTCGGGTCTATTGTTAAAGCAGGGGTTGCAATATAAGTTTAAAATTTAACGGGAATTTCGTTGAAAATTTTGTTAACCTTTTTTATTTTCACTTCTAAACTGTTAACGATGGTTTGTTGACATAACCTACATTTGAAATTGTACTGGAGGCCAGTACAATTTCAGTACTTTTTCAGTCCAATTTTCCGGCAGGGTGGTAAATTTGCAGCAAACTTGCGGCAAATACCAAAATGTCCGAATGGTTGCAAGATTTCCGTGCAAATTTTCTGCAAACTTGCTGCAAATTTACTATAAATTTGCTGTAAATTTGCTGCAAAGTTTCTGAAAATTTTCTGAAAATTTGCCGCAAAGTTTCACAAAATTGAAGGATCAAATTTTCAGAAAACTTTCTTCAATTTGAAAAAGCAAATTCTATGAAAGAGTTAAATTAAAAAGTTTTTTAAATTGCATTTACGAAACTTGAAGAATATAAAATTCGAAAATTTTTAACCTTATCAAATTTTGGAATTTTAGAAAGGAATAGTAAAGGAACAGATTTTCAAGAAATATTGGAAAATGTTAGTTTATGAATTAAAGAAGTCAATATTGTTGTTTAAAATACAAACATTGTTTTATATATTTATTTTAATATAGGTACATTTTTTGTTAAAATTTTTTTATTACATTGTTTATTTTTTGTTGATCGCCGGTTGTCTAATGAGTATCCCTATAACATCAATGTATTAAATTGTATATTTAATCTGTATCTAAAAAAGTTTTATTATATAGAGATTCTTATTTAAGCTTAAAATTATGTTAGATAAAAATTGTTGTAATTTATTAATTTTTGAACAGTTCTACATTAAACATTAATCAGGGTTGCCATAAAAATTTAATTTTTTTTCGATTACTTTTTAGAAAGCATTTAGACTTTATTCCTGATTTCTACAAAGCAATTCAATAAGAGTTCAATTAAAGGAAAAGATTTAAATCATCTTTAAACTATACAAAATAATAAAATTTTTAATTGCAACTGTTTCGTAATTCAAACCCTCTGAATACAAGTTTAATACAACTTTAATACTACCCTTTAATAAAACTATCTTTTTATAAAAGCTTTACAAAAATTGGATTATTTTTAATTGGTTTAAATTTTTTTATAAATATTTATTTTGAACTAAAATCCATTGTAAATAAATTAAAATTATTATATAATTTATTTAAGATACATTTCATTATTTACAGAAATAAAAAATTAGGGCTTGTTTTAAAATTCATTATGAATCAAAAGTTTGTAAGATAAAAAAGTGCACAGAGAATTAAAGGTTTTTAATTTTTTCAAAAATATTTTCAGACACAAGAACCATATTTTGTATTACTTTATAAAATTCTTATATTCAGAGTACGTTGGACAAAATTCCCTGATTCAATTTCATTTTGCCAGATTTTCTACTAAAATCCCCGATTTTCTCAACTTGTGGCAACCATGCTATATTAATTTAAAATTAAAACATGTTGAAAAACTTATAATTATCATATAAATTCTATTTTAATAAATAATCCCTTAAAAATTGGTTGTTAATTGTCCGAAAAGTAAAATTATTAAACATTTTAACCTTTTTTTAAATAAATATTGTAGAGAACAGATTTTCGAAAACAGTTTTAAATTGTTATTTTTTAAAATAAAATTTTATACCTTATTGGAGTATTAGTTGTATAGTCCATGACGGTAATACGTGTAAACTGCATTGCAAAACGAGAACAGAAATCTATAACGCCAAAATATTTGTTTCTGTTTATATAAATGTTAAAATTTTCTTTTCTTTTAAATATTTATTTTATACGTACCAATTGTTAACCATCCATCAGACACTTTCCGTCTTCAGTTTTAATATTTTTGAAAATTACTGGAATAAAACAAATTCCAAGGTATAGTCAGTTCCTATACCTGTCACTTCACTTCTCCTCATCCATTAATAAAAATATATTGAATTAAAACTTTTCTCATTTTAAGTTTCAAAGTTCTAAAACAGAAAGAATCAAAAATACTTTAATATATTTTAAAAATTAAAAATAATTAATAAATAAAAAATAAAATAAAAAAAAAGTAAAAAAAGTTAAAGTTAAAATAAAAAACATTTTAAGTTTAAATTGAATAATTGATTACTATAAATTAAAAAAACATTACCTCCATTCTATTCTTCTTGAAGTTTCGTTTCTTATTCTTCTTCACTAGATGAATGAGAAGACTCCTCTTCTAATATAGCCAACTGTTCTTTTTGCTGCTTCTTTTCTAATAAAGCTCTGAAACACAAAGAGAATTAATGGTTATGGTTTTTTCCTATTTTATATGAACTGAAGTAACGACAGAAAATAGTAAAGATTATTGAATTGTTTAATTAACATTATTTACCGCAAGCGTTTCTCTTTATTATTACACTGGTACAACCATGCCTTAATACCACCTTTGGCAGTCTCTACGTCGGCATTAATTAATTTCTTAGCAGCTGCTAAAAAAAGAAATTTAAATTGCAACTTCAGTTTTAAACAGAAAATCATTAAATTAAAAAATAATACTAACCACAAACAACAGAACAAATTTTTAAGTCTTCAAAGGCCATTTTTTTGACTTCGGCCTTTAAATGTATATTTTTGACCGAGCTTTAAGGAAATTAGATTTCTCATCATATTGGAGACAGTAGTGTTAACGTTAGTCATTTTCCCTAATCCAACTAACTCGTCAATCTGAAAGAAGTGCCAAAAAGTCAATATTAAAGTAAACAATTGGAAAAATTTGCTTCATTCTAAAATTAAAATCAATGAAGCATTGGATTAAATCAAGTTTTATATTTTACGTAAGAAAATCTTAATTGTTTATTGATTAAAATTACTTTACTTTTTCGTATAACGTGTAATTCTTAAAATTTTGTAAATAAAATTACCAATTTTTCTTCATATTTTTTTGACTTTAGTTGCTCTTCAAGACTGTTCATTGCCTGCACGGTTTTCTTAGGAAAGTCACTTAGGTCACCACGGTCACCACTTCCAAACATTGGTTTCCCTTCGGTCGCTTCTTTTTCTTTCGCGATATATGTTAATTTCCTATTCATGGAGGTCAATGTTTTTAATAAAAACTTAGAATCAATGACACCTGTAAAAATAAAATTTTTAATATTACGATTATAATTAAGGTCATGTTATTCAGTGGTCACGTGCCCCATATACTTTACTATGGAAAAACATCACACTGAATAACATGGCCTTAAAAGAAACATTAATTTTTGCAAAACAAAATTATACAATTATTTATAATCATTATAAAATGTCTTCATTATTTTACTAAAAACATTTTTTAATTTTTACAATTTAAATAATAAAATTCTAAATATAAGAAAAAGATAAGTTTTTACCCTCGTTTTGAGTTTGTGCAGCATTTGAAGTCGTTGGTTTTTCATCGCCATTACTGTTCCCGGATAAGATTAGTTTATTATTTTCCGCGTCTGATGAGTGGTTAGAAGAGGCTATCACAAGTCTAGGTATCTCAATTACATTAGTTACTTTAGGTAAGGCTTTTTTATCAATCAATGTTTGTTCCTTTTCTGAAGTATGGAAATCTTTATTCCCATTTACACAATTCAATGGCTCTAATAAAAGCTTAGTATTTGATGTTGTCTCAAGTTCGTCATTTAGATGGCCTTGTTGCTGTGGCCAAAGCTTATTATGCACGATATGTTTTTTCTCTGGTGGACTATCGAAATCTTTAACCGCATTTGCAGTTTCCGATTGATCTAATGAAATCATAGAATTTGAGGTTGATGCATCAGATTTGTTATTTGCATGATCTTCTTTTCTTTTTTTCTTTGGTGGACTATTGAAATCTTCTTCCTTCTTTGCACATCTTGAATGACGTGTTTTCTTTAATTTTTCGATATTTATGGCCACATCGCTATCTACTTCAGATAATTTTTCATGATATTCAATTCTCTCCAACGCTAATTCGTAATTAGCTAAAAAAATTGTTTTTTATTAATTTGAATATATAGGGACCTATAAGTACAGCCATAATAAACTATAGTCCAAAAAATGGGAATGTGGTCAATTTAAGTTTTAAAAAGACAATAATAGTGAAAAGTTTAAATATAAAGGGTAGAATTACAAAGGAAGCAAGTCTTAATGTTCAAAACTTTAAATTTTTTCATGAATTAGCTAAATGAATTTTTATAAAGATTAGATCGAAATTAAAGTTGAATAGATTAAATTTTAAATAATTTATACCAGTATATTCCAGGACTCCAATTATATCAATCATTTCACAATTAACTTCTTCCAATGAAGCCTTTGCTAAAAGCATTTTTACTATTTTGTGACCAGTTTTTCCAATCGGATATAAACAATGAGTTATTTCCTCTCCACTGTATACTAGCCATGAAGATAGGACAATAGTTATACCATCGCGGAAGTGCACTATCGCGTACTGTCTTGCATCTTGTCTTGAAACCAAAGAAACCGTGGAACCTGCTGTTAATTTGCAAAGCGACAGCATAGAAAACGACAATATTCAAAGGTTAGTAGTTTAGTAAATTTTTCTTTTTTTGTGCTGTGTAGAAAATAAAATAACTGTTTAATTTTTTATTGTTAATTAATGTAAGTATTTTTTATGAAAGCAAGGTATTTTAGAAGACAAGAAATATTTTTTGGAATTAGAAAAATAATTATAGCAGAATATTTTTAGTTTTTTGAATGACTGTCATTTTTCATATTTTAAAAACGATTTATATTTCCCTTTCTCATTATTATAAGCTTTTACTGTTTGTCCCTTTCGACTTTGCAATTCAGTATTTATTTTATACACAGCTTCTTTTCTGAAAGTCAAATAATATTTACAAAATTATGTTAAAATATGACTAAATCAGTTGTAGTAAATTCAGAACCATTTCATTACAAAATAAATAATATAAAAATTTTCACAATTCTTTAATTTTTAGAAAAAGAAATTAATATTTCTCATTAATATTTTTCAACCCTACATTTATAAATCTAAGTTGGGTTTTTAATTAATTTTCATTTGGATATATCAATTAAGAAAATTTCTTTTTATAAATTACTAGGCCCACTTTGGCGCAAGACTTCCCAGTTGAAGAGAAGAGTGAATTTAGTCCACTTGTATATTCTGCACAGGATGATAACTTTTCGGTTAATGGTGACGAGGATATGGAAAAAATTGAACTTCAAACTTCAAATGTCGAGAATGTTCAGATTACTACTTCTTCAGATAATGAATCATGATGCGTTTATGGAACATACTAAAGATTACAGGTACATGTCCACAAAATCTTCTATTGATTTAAAATATACAGTCAACTCTCGATAAGACAAAGCGCGATAACTCAAATTTTTCGGTAAGTCAAAGTAATTCTTGGGTCCCGTTCATTCCTTATAAGCATTATTAACATTTGATAACTTAAACTTTTCGATAACTCAAAGTTTTTTCGGTCTCCCTTCGAGTTTGTCTTATCGAGAGTTGACTGTATTTCGACATGAAAAACTATTGTTTGGGAAATTTTATAAAATTAATTACCTACCCCATTTTTTTAACACTTTAAAGATACGTTTTTAATAAAAATAATTTATTTTCTAAAATCTAAATTCGATTTTAAAACATTACATGTATAGAATATATAATATATAGTATAGTATATATAGAATAAAACATTGTTTTTAACCAGAAAACTTGTAATTTCCATTTCTTAAATTAACTTTTTTTATCAAAAGCTCAATTTAGAAATTATAATGGAAACAATCATTAGATCTATGATTTAGTTGGAAATCTAATCATTATAATTTAACACAAATTCTATTTTATTTATATTTTCTTACTACATTCCTAGTCCACTTTCTGTGATAAAACAATGTTCGTTATTTTTAAAGAAAGCTTTCCTTTATACCAATTTGAAAATAAAAATAATAACAAATGTCAAGTTTGGGTCAAGCTTTGTCAAACGGATTAGTTAAAATTAAAATATTTTTTTAATAATTATGTTTACAAAAATTTTAATTTCATTCGTCGCAAGAATTCGATTATTTTTATAAATAGTAAAAATCTTTTAAAACATTCAATTATTTTCAATACAATTGTAATAAAATTACAATTTAAAAATTACAATTTAAAATTAAGAGAACATTAATTGTTTTTAACTTTTAAGAATATTTTTCGAAAAAGTTCAATTATTTTTTGAAATTTTAATAAATCCTTGGTAAACAATATACAATTTTTTTTCTTAATTCGTTATAAAATTTTTTCAAAAAAATTTAATTATTTTCTAATATTTTAATAAATTCTTCGAAACATTTTAATTATTTTAATAAGTATGTAGTTAAATTCACCGCAAGAATTAAATTATTTTTTATAAATAGTAACGATTATGTTAAAAAGTTGAAAAAATTCTTTGTTTAAAGGCATTTGAATTGTCAGAGAAATTGATAAACTGAAACTTGTTTGAAAAATAATAATTTTTTTCAATTGAAAATCTTACAAAAAACTAAAATGTAATAAATACACTTCATTTTTGGCTTGATAACCATTCCAAACATTAACCAAGTATAATAATATCATTTGAGTGTCAATAATCGAAAAAAAGACGCCTGAAAACCTGCAAGTCGTAAAGTGAGTCAACCTGCAATTTTGAAGTCTACTTTTAAATTGAAGATGAAAATATTAATTCACGATACCTATTTTAAAAATTCCTTTTGGATTATCAAAATTGATTAAATAATAACTCAGAAAAAAATTGTAAATTAAATTATCTATAAAAATATTTCATTTGTTAGCATATGATTCCTGAGGTGAAAAACTATTTTAACGAATACAAAAATCTCTATTAAATTTTTTATTTAAACAGAACTTTTTATATAATGAAGCATTAAACTTTTATTTTTTAAATACGTGGTATTCCAGGAGAAATTTACTACTTTTCGGAGCACCCTCACCGATTTCTTTCAAACTTGGTAGTATTACATTTGTTGGTCTAAAGTTTCAAAAAATCAATTTTTTAAGTAAAATCAATTGTTCATTTAAAAGTTACAAAAATTCCTCAAAATTGTTTAAATGCCCATATCTTTTAAACGGTACAAGATAATTGAGTTTTCTTTTGTTGCTAAAAATTCATAAAGACGAGACGCTTCAAAAATTTTATTAACATTTTTTCTTATTTTGTTAATTAAAAAAGTTATTTAAATAAGTAAAATTAACTTTTGAGCCGGAATTAAAAATTAAATGACTTATGAACCAAAAAATTTCTTGTTTTTCACACTTTTATATTCCGAAGAATAAAAGGTGTTTGAGTTTTTCAATCACTTATAATTTAAACAATGATTCGCTTGTTTACAATTATTTTGCAACTAAATGATCATCTGTTCTCACCTGCGCGCGACTACTGCTACGTCACGTTCGTCTGTCTCAGAATATATTTTTGACAAGCGTGGAAAAATTGAGGTTATGTTTAATCAAAACAACGCATTTCAATCTTTTTAAAGTTTTTAGCAGTCATAGCTAACTCGACTTTCCGTGCATGCATAGCGGGCGGAAAGTAAGCTTTTGCCGCCCGCTATGCATGCACGGAAAGTCGAGTTTATCGCGCATGTAGGACAAAAAATAATTTTTATCGTGTTTTTCAAAATCCTCTTTTTTCTTTTGAAAAATCCCCTCTTTTACCTATTTTCAAGTGGAAATGACACTGTGATCCCTGCAATTAATTAATTTATATTTTTAACTCCTGCACAGTCGACTTTCTCGAATGCGCAATACATTTTTATGTCCAACATTGTTATACGAGCCTAACATATTAAAATATGAAGTCTATGTATGTCAAATGTTGCTTAACATATAAAAATTTAAAAAATTAAAAAGTTTCCTTACAGGATCCTGCAAGTGTTCCTGTACAGGAACACTTTCAGTATCCTTTGATACACCGAAAAAAAAATATTCTTGTTTTAAGAGGACAATTCCTCTTCTAAAATCCTCTTACATTTTATTCTTGAATTAAGAATGGAGTGGAGAATAATCCTCTTAAAATAAAAGGACGTTTTTTGAGCCATATACAAGAGGAAAATATGCATTAAAATAAGAGGAATCCTTTAAAACAAGAATATTTTTTTTTCAGTGTACCTAAGGTTCCTGCATCGGAACCTGCACAGGAACCCTGTTCCAAAATCCAGTCGGGATCCTGTACAGGACCTGTATAGGATCCCAAGAGGATCTTGTAGGGGGGTTTTAAGCAGGATAGTGTTTATATTTTTTAATTAGTGATTTTTCCGAATTACCGAATACTTATACGAACTTTTACAGTTTGAACAAAATTTATAACTAGTAATCGGTAAGCCAAAATAAATTAATTGCAAGTAATATATATATATATATATATATATATATATATATAAATATTTGAAGTAATTATTTACTTAAGAACATTCGGGAAATGTCCCTCTCAAGAAGTGGTTTCCCATGTGCCTTCTCGTTTCTAAGTGAGAAGAGATATCTCTGGGATTTTTCGATTTAATAAGAGGAGAACTTACGAAATTCGTACAAAATTCAAACGAATTAATTCTGGAAAATATAAAAAATTTCGGTTCGTAAATTCGCATGAAATTTTGCACGAAATGTCAGCTAAAAGTATTTTTCAAAAATTTTCGGTCGATTCTCCATACTAAATTCGTATGGAATTCGTTCGGAAATTTGACCATAAATTTTTGAAAGAAATTTTCCAATTTTGTTCGTACATTCATTAAATTTATTTCCGTATTTGTTTAAATTATTGTACTCCATTTTTATACAACATATAATAATTTAAAACATTTTTTATAATTGTTTTCACCTATGAGTAATGCAATAGCTGTAAACAGGGCCAAAACTTGAAAAGGAACTGCATTTCCATATAACACATGCGCAATAGAAATGAATTGAAATGAAAAGGTCTATTATTATTATTATTATTAGGTCTATTATTATTTATAAATAATTTAATTTTTTCACAATTTTCATTTTTAGTTCAGTAAATGAATAAAATTGTCATTCTAGTAAATACTAGGGATGTGTACTAGAGTCACACACATTTACGAGATCGTTTCTGTGTACACTGTAAAAAATTTAGAGAGTGCGACTTTTATAGAATCCCCTAGGAGTTGAAATTCAACTCCCTTTTTTACAGTCTAATCGAACTATATATATGGGTGATTCTCCCGAAATACTCCTTTTTGTGAGTTACAAACAGAAAAGAAAAAAAATTATTATTTATGGATTAATGCAGTCAATTATATTGAGCTTTCAAAAATCTACCACCTCTATAGCATGATCATGCTAACTTTTAGCTTTTAAAGTATATATTTTAAATTAAAATTTACAAAAAAATTAAGAGGTTAAAATTTGGCGCCGGCGTTTTTTATTATATATATTTTTCTATTTACAAAAAATTATTTAAAAATTATAATTTATTAATATTATCTATAAATTTTATAGATTTTGAAATACTTACAGTTATCAAAAATCTCTTTAAACAATTGTCAAAAATTATTTTTCATACATTTTAGGTTCACTTTTCACTGGTAGTTTGTAAACAACCGACAATCATATCAATTTTTAATTTTTATTCAAAAAAGTGAGAGGAATGACGGGTGAGAGGAATGACGATTTCAACATTTTTTAATTTTATTTAATTGACAAATAATTTTCCTCCAGCTTAGAATGCCCTATCATGTTTATAAAGGATAACTTTATGTGAAAAAAATTTGCGATCAATTTATATATATTAATATTGTTTTTATTAGGGGTGAGAGGAATGACGCTTTAGGTTGTGAATCTCTGCTTATGTCTCAATTTAAATTTTTTTAACGCAAAATAATGACATTTTTTAAAAAGTAACTTAAGAAATTAATATTAGAGATGTTAATTTAAATATTGATCACAATAATTAAGCAATATCTCTACCCACAGCAAAAATATTGGATAATATTCAACGAGTGAGAGGAATGACGCGGTACTACATGACAAATTTCATTTTCTATATTTAAAAAAACTACACGACATATTTTATTTATATTTTTAAAAATTATTCTTAAATATCATAACTTTTAGAAAAAATTAATAAAGTACCAATTTTCATGTTTTAAATAATTGTTTACCTATTGAAAAAATGAAAAGCACTTAGATGACAGGTTAGAAAATCGATTTTGAGGTGGTAAAATATTTTAAAAATGTATTAAACAATAAAATTTTACAACTTTTTCTTGCAGAACATTTAGAAAAAGTGATAAAATAGGGAAAT